GTGAGCTAACTGTTAAACTGTAGCGGTGAGCTAACACCTGAAGAATCATGCAGTATTTGTTCTGAGTACTATCCAAACGCCCCCTTATGGACATAATTGCGCCGAGGCCAAATAGTGGGGAAACTCTCTGGGGAATCAGAGATACAGAGGAAGGAGCGATGAAGACGAGTCGATGATGAAGCTGCGTGGTGTCCATGATATCGTTCTAGAACCAGAGTCAATAGAAACAGCCTGAGAGTTGTTTGGATTTCCTCTCCTGTCACAGGAAGTTTGCCAGACTGGGCCTCCATCCACAATCTGTGTATCAGGACTCCTCCCCCTCCCCCTTCCTCCCCTCCTCCTCCTCCTCCTCCTCCTCCTCCTTCATCTCCTGCTCTTTCTCCTCTATTGACCGTCCCTTCCATCAATCACCTCCTGTTCTTCTTACATCTGTCTTACCCTCGGCTGCTTCCTCTCCTCTCACCTCCTCTCCAATTTCACCTCCCCTCTCCCCCTCTCCTCCTCTTCCCCTCTCTCCCTCTCTCCTTTGTCCTTACCCTCGTTTCTTTATTTGACCATTTTAAAGAAGAGTGGACATTTTGATTTGTTAACGGTCCTTGAACTCAAACTTCTTTAGAACTACTGTCTTGTTTGTAACGTTTTTTTGTTTTGTTTTGGGTTTTTTTGTACCGTGACGGTTCACTTCAGCCTTCACTTCAACGTTCACTTCGGCGTTCACTTCGACGTTCACTTCAGCGTTCACTTCGGCGTTCACTTCGACGTTCACTTCGACGTTCACTTTGACGTTCACTTCAGCGTTCACTTCAACGTTCACTTCGGCGTTCACTTCGACGTTCACTTCGACGTTCACTTTGACGTTCACTTCAGCGTTCACTTCAGCGTTCACTTCAACGTTCACTTCTTCGTTCCGTCGTGGGAAAATGAAACCCAAACCTTCTCTGTAATCACTGCGATGCAGTTACTCTGTTTGTTCAGACCTTTTTTTTTAATGTCTACTTGTCGAATAAAAACTGCCCCCCAGTTGAAGCCCCGCCCTCACATCTGTGAGAAAGTAAGAGATTTCTCTGTGACCTTTGGTTCCTTTACGATGCTGGAGGTCGGACCAATCGCGGCCAGGAAAAACAAACCAAAGCCTCCGTCGCTGTGTTGTCTTAAAACCTGGGTCCAGTCTGACTCATCACTTCAGTCTCTAC